TGGTGGCCGACCAGATCCAGGCGCACTTGGACGAAACAGAGGCCCTGGATCCATTTCAGTCAGGCTTCAGGCCGCGCCATGGTACAGAAACGGCATTGGTTGCCCTGTGTGATGACCTGTTGAGGGAGGCTGACAGGGGCAAAGTGTCTCTGCTGGTCCTCCTCGACATCTCAGCAGCCTTTGATACCATTGACCACGGTATCCTCCTGGGGAGGCTCTCCGAGCTGGGAATCAGTGGCCTGGCACTGGCCTGGCTCCGTTCCTTCTTGGAGGACCGTCCCCAGAGAGTGCAGCTTGGGGAGAGTATTTCGGCCCCATGGAGTCTCAATTGTGGGGTTCCACAGGGGTCGATTATCTCCCCAATGCTGTTCAACATCTACATGAGGCCGCTGGGTGGGGTCATCAGGGGGTGTGGTGCTTCGTGTCACCAGTATGCGGACGACACGCAGCTCTACATCTCCTTTTCACCAACTGCAGGAGATGCCGTTCTGTTCCTTCAGCGCTCCCTGGGGACTGTACTGCAATGGATGCAGGAGAACGGGCTGAGGCTGAACCCAGACAAGACGGAGGTACTGAGGGTGGGCACCCCCACAGTTGGGGATTTGGGAAACTCCCTCTCTTTTGGGGGGATGACTCCCATCTGGGCCCGGCTCTCACTATGGAATCTCAGGTGGCGTCCGTGGTCCGCTCCGCCTTTTTTCACCTTAGGTGGATAGCCCAGCTGCGGTCCTACCTTGATGTTGGGGCGCTCACTACCTTGGTGCATGCGCTCGTAATCTCAAGATTAGCCCACTGTAATGCGCTCTACGTGGGGCTGCCTTTGAGGCTGCTGCGGAAACTACAGGTGGTGCAGAATGCCGCAGCCAGACTACTTAGTGGAGTGAAAAAAGACCAACATATCTCACCCACTCTGGCTGCATTGCATTGGCTGCCCATTTGGTTCCGCATCGACTTCAAAGTGCTGATGCTTACGTACAAAGCCCTAAACGGTTTAGGGCCTCGATACTTGGCAGAACGCCTACTCCCACCAAGATCTACCCGTGTCACTCGTGCAAGCCAGGAGGTGAGGCTGAGGAGCCTAACGCCGAGGGAGGCCTGGAAAGTAAAGACAAGAAATCGGGCCTTCTCGGCGGGGGCTCCTCGCCTTTGGAACAACCTACCTCCTGAGATCCGCGTGGCACCCTCGCTGGGTATCTTTAAAAATCAACTAAAAACATGGATGTTTCGGCAGGCCTTCCCTCCAAACAATTCCTGATGCCCTCTCCTCTCCCTTGCCTATTGTTTCCTCCCGCTCCTAAGGTTTCTTCTATTTAAAAATTTTTATACTATTTTATGCTGTTAGCCGCCTAGAGTGGTCTTAACCGACCAGATAGGCGGGATATTAAATAAATAAATAAAGTATCCAAAACATACAAGGATTATCCAGAATGCCCAACTGCGGGATTTTTTTCTTCTTTAATTTGTAAAATTATTCTGCAACAAAACATGAGTAGGGAGATTAAAATATTTCAATTTAGTGCATGAAGTTAAAAAAAGAACCATTTGGTGCCTTTAAGGGGGGAAAAGTTGGTGCAAAATGATTAGGTCTCCACAGAGGGGGCAAAGGTACAATGGCCAAATAAGCAAGAAGCCTTATGTGGGCAGAATGCAGCAGTGCTGCTTGTGTGACCCCAACTGAATAAGGACACCGTGGCAAAGAACAGAGTGTGATAACAGATGAAAGACAGTTGCATTTTCTTATCTCAATGATACCCTCACTTGGCACCACTAAGTGTCTCTCCTTTGCATCATCCTAGGAACTGAAAACTTATTTTAAAATGGTTCAAAAGATTTTTTAAAAAAATGTTAATCAGGTCAGGTGTATTTAACATATTTTGTTACACTTTCTTCAAGAATGGAGTTGTACTTTCTAAAAGCCGTTACACTACTACAAGAACAGAACAGTACATGCTTTTTCTGTTCTATTTCCTACTTTGAGGTAGGTCTTCCTGCTTTGCAAAGGAAGATGCAACAAATGGGTTCCAAGGACAGGTATACATTCTTCGTGTGGCCACATGAATAAAGGCATTGAAGAAATGTAGCATAATATAGATTTCATAGATCAACTCCAAGCTTTTAGGTTTCTCATTGTGGCCTCAGTCCACAACGAGAAACCTGATTCATTAGCAGAACTGGGAGAGAGTGGATCTCCCCAAATCTACTTTCAAGGGCTGGGAGACCTTCTGGAACATATTTCTGTGGGGAGGGCAGTACCATAGGCTGCACAGGGAAAGAGGAGAGGAAGTTATTTCTGATATATAGATGCTTGTTACCGTGCCACCATGATTTTGGATTTAGGCCTAAGATTTACTTCCCAGAGCGGCCAAGTGTCACTGAATTTTGATTTACACAATAATTTCTGCCTATACAGTATTGTGAAGGGCATAATAGCCACATCACTTGCTCAAGCTGGCCTTCATATATGGAAAACAATGGCATTTTGTAAGCTGTCTCTAGAGAACATTGTGTGAGGCAAAGACATGCAAAGGTGGCAAATAAATCCTAAATTTCTTGCTTCCCAGATACGTAAAAGATGTATACCTACGTCTGTTGTGATCCAGACTAAAAATAGTGGGGGTTAACTCCAGCTAACATGCAAGCTTCTGCATGTTTACTCAGAAGCAAACCCCATCAGGGACTTCCTCTCAGATACATTCACTGCCGAAGACTTTATTCCGTCTGCAGATACTGGACTTCATATTGTACATTGGTACAAAGATGTAAATCTGTGCAATTTTATTCAGAAACCAATACTTTCTGTTCCAAAGCATTTTTAAAATCTATTTTAATTTTGAATGAATATAAGGAAAAGGTGACCCAGATCAGTGGGTCACCTTTTTCCCCACAACAGTGCACTCCCCTTCAAACTTTCCATGCAGTTTTAGAAGGTCCACTTGCTCAGCAGAGCAGCTGTTTGAGGGACACAGAATAAATCCAGCAAAAAAGCCATTCATCTAGTATTTTAAATATACTGTGGTTGAAATCCTGTTGTACAGTTATGCAAAAGGAGTAACTTTTAGAGGTAAATGAGTTAAGAAATCTTTTTACGTATTACTTGTTGCGCACCATGCGGAATAACTCAGTGTTTTTTAACGCATGGCTATTCACCACTAAAAGTTACTCCTTTTGTGTAACTACAACAGAACTTTGACCAATTTTTTTCCTGTGGGTATTTATCTTGGTACATTCTCACGGAAAAACTTTTTAGGTTATTCTCTATTTCTGGATTTGTAAAGCAGAGATGGAAGGGGCTGCCTTCTGGGTGTTGTTGCACAGTGCCAGTGGTAAGGGGATGACAAAAGCTGGATACCTTCAATAACATATGAGGGCCATGGTTCCTAGCTCTGATGGAAAGCATGTGGAGGTGACACATGCTTCTTCAGGCACAGAATCATGGATGTGGCTCCAAACCACTACTTACCACCACTTTTTTTCTTCTTTTCTCTTTTGGTTGCTAAAAATACTTTTTTCAAGTCTGGTTTCACCTGAGGCCAAATTCGCCATTCAAGGCTTAGGGCTCATCGTTGGAGGGTCAGCATGTGTGTAGTGAGTGGGGGTGACCCTCTCCCCATTGGTTTTTGCATCACAGAACCTAGTAGGACAGTGTTCAAGTTTAGATACTCTTCAGTTTAGTTAATTGTATTGCATTTACAACTGGAAAGTGATGGGGAGAACTTTTAGATTTGGCATTGCCAAGGAAATTCTCTTGATCAACCTCATGGGGTACTAGTGCTCTGGAGCTGATGTGAATGCCACACTTCTTTCCTTTGCTCTTACCTATGACAGAAATCTTGTAGGCTTTCACACTACCCCTACCTGTTTGTAACAATGTGTGCAGAACACAAGGGAGAAACTCTGATTCAATTTTCAGAGTCTTATGTTTAGAAACACCTACAGGAACAGTTTGGGAGAAGGCCACATAAGCCTTTGCTGTCTTCTTTTCTCTGACAATTTTAAAGCAGTGAGTGCATTTGAGTTGAACTTCCCAATTTTCCACCTGGAGCATTTTAGCCAGCCAAGATTAGATTCCCAGAGATTTAATAAATAACTATCCCTAGAATAGTGCTCCCACGTGAACAGAACACATTAAAGAGAGTGAACCCAGTGAGTGCTAATAAGAACAAATCAGTACTGTGGGTGCACTCACTTTCTTTGCACAATGACACATTAAATAACATTGGAATATTTCAGAGAAAGAAAAGCGATTTCCTCACCTTTGCAAGCTATTGGAACTAGCCTACTAATACAGAGCATGTAGCGCTCTATCTTAGCCTTAGTATTATTAAAGAGTAAGGATGACCCCTATACAGAAGAATTATTAGTCATTGTAGAAATGTTGACAGCAATAGGGCCACATTCTACTAATGTTCCAGAATAGGGGAGATTGACTGTGACAAAGTGCTTTGCCCAGAAATACACCCTACAAGAATGCTTGGGAGCAAATTTTGAACCAAGTACCATGAACCTCATCACTGAACTACTCACCTGTTTCTCGAGTATAATTCAATGTGCAATGCTATAACGTATTAGAAAGCCAAGTCTCGATATATATCAAGGTCTTAGTCTGGGACTCTACTTTAGATTTTGTGTACCTGTGCATGTATGCTGAATATGTATTTTCATCCACCAAATGCAAAAACAGATCACTCAATAAAAACATTTTTGTTGAATCCAGCAGCACACACTGTTCCCTCACTTCTCATGATTTAAGCATTGTGAGAAAAGGATATGTCAGCTCTCCTCTTTCTGCTTTGACCATTGACCCTTCAGCAGGTTCATAATGAACACGAAGTGAAATCTAGGTTTAAAAAAAGATGCGGTTGGCATGTGTGAGACACCGTTCAGAGTTCAAGTGTTGGAAAAGTAAATATATTTAGCTGAGAGAACAGACCTTGGACTATCACTTCAGTAGACATTAACTTATTAATTCTCTTTGCCTCTAATGTGATCTTTGTCCCTTTAATAAGGTGGCAACTGATGCAATGGTTGCTTCTATAAAGGTTCAGGTAGAATACTTGAGCAAGTTTGTCTTCAGGCTTCACCAGTTTTTGGACACACACTACGGTGTGAAAATACAAAGGCAATGCAGTGCTTGAGAGTTGCGGTGATCATCTTAGTCTGTTCAGTCCTGCTGTCTCAGGTAAGAAGGCTGAAGGCATCTGTATTCCAAAAGATCAGGAAATTGCTAGTGAGGGTGTAATTTGCATGACTGAGTGCACTTCGGTGTGTATTTCAACAGGAACTAATGTTTAAAGATACCAAAGAACAAGACCTGCACTATTGATCTGTATCAGGAGAACTATTAGTTGTAACTAACAAAATACCCATTGCTATGTCATACATGCATGTTTGCATAGAGGGTTTGCAAGGGCTACTGAATATAAATAGGTTGTGCCCCCATGTAGGAGCTTGCTAAGTGTGGGCTGGCATTTTTCAGTGTCATGGTAAAGGGGTTGTTTTTGCCTTTAGTGAACAGGGTCTCCAAATGTATCACATACGAATAAACAGCAACTATTGTTTTGTACGTATAGGTAAAAAAAGGTGGGTGTATTATGGGAGATCACTGGTACACAAGCTAAACAAGTGTTTTCTACATGTGAGATATGTTAGGTTTTTATATTCTTATTGGCCAGTATCCTATTGCTATACTAGACCCTGACCTGATTGTTTAAGATAAGCACACTGACTTGGAGAATAGTTGTACAGAAACAGAAAGAAGCAGAGACATATGGGTGTTTTAAGTCTAAATGGGCCTCAATACTGTACCTGACCATACTCTAATTACATTTCAGACACACAGTGCCTCACTGCATCCACCAAACTTTCAGCTAACAAGGCAGAAGAGAATGACACCCTTCTGGAGAGGAATCTCAAGGCCACTTGGAGCATCATGCAGGGATAACAGTGAATGCGCCACAAGACTGTGCAGGTAATTTCATCCTCAGTCCTTAAAAAAAAAATTAAATGGTATAGCCAAGGCCTCTCTCGTCATAACTACTACAGTGGTAGTTTTATTTTAATCACTGAAACAAGTTAGCACAGAGAACAATTAATACCTGGGTGGGCAACCTCTGTAGGTCTGGAGCTAATTTCCACAAACACAGAACCTGCCACAGCCTGAACCGTCCTTATGTGCCCTGAAAACTGGTTGACACACTGGGAAGAACACTTTAAAGCAAGCAGACAAACTGCACAAATCCCATTAAAATGAACATTTCCTACTTGCTTTAAAGAGAATTTCACTGTTTGTTACTAAAATTTCAGGCGCACAGGTTTGGGAAGCTTCATGTAGTCCAACCCTACATTAACTAAATACAGAATAAAAACATTTTGGAAAAAAGTATTGCAAACAAATGGCTGCAGGGGCATCTAAGGTGAGAGAAGTTTAATATATGCTAAAACATGGCAAAACTAATGGATCATCTAGCACTTTATTTCATTCAAAAATAAGTTACCCCCAAGAACACAAACCCAGCTAATTTTGGATCTTTCTAAAAATGAATTCAGACATCAGATACAAGTTAGCTGTGACACTACGGAATACTAATGCCCTGTGATATATATGTGTGGTAGTTTTAACATGTTTCAGAAAAAATAAAATGACAGCCTTTTTCTTTTGTAGGAACAAACACTGCTCTTTAAGAACATCACAGGAGTGATTCCTTGCTGAGAAGAAAAAGCCTGATGTTACCTGTGGCCTTGCTTCTTCCCTGTTTATTTATTATCATCCCTCTTGACTTCACTTTCATGAATTTAAATCTTTAAAATACTTCAGTTCTATGGATGCAAAGGACTTCAATATACCAAACATACATGTTGATAAATACTGTATCTTTCCATCTTGTTCCAAGGTGGGTTTTTAGCCAAGCTATGGTAGCTTAAACTGACTATATCCTTTTATATTGTTTGTAACATAAAAGATCTGTATAAGAAACATCTTTTGGCATTTTTCCTTGTATATCAACTGAAAGTGAAAGACACTCTGTGAAGTTATATTGAAAGTTCTGAGAGTAGAAATGGATTATGGACATTGACTCCCCTAATACACTCCAGCTGAGAAAATGACATGGTTTCAACTTCATCCATTTTAGAGTTAAGAATTAAAGAATCATCAAAATCAGAAAAACCATGCAGCCCTAAGCATCTCACAGGATCACCACAGATTCCATCTAAATTCCCATGTTTACCTCATCTTTCATCATTATCTGTGGCATTTAAACTGTTTTTTGTAGTGGGTAAAGCTGTGATCCGCTTTCTGGAAGTACTAGCTCTATGTAAATGGCAATTATACGTGTGGATAAAAGGGAGCAGAGATGCGGTGTGTGTCAAGTTGGGCAAACAGAATGTACAAACACTGGTCTCCATCCTCTCACACAACAGATTTTTCCATTCCAGCATGCAAAGAGGTCCACACAAAAGGATTAATTCGAGCACAGTGCTTATAAAGTTTAATACAGAAAATCTATTCAATATTTATTAAACTTAGTTTCTCCAGTTACAGTTTTGCATTGTACAAAGCATTTTAATGACACAGTAGTTAAAAAGATCTTTACAAATTGAAATGTGATACCCTTTTCTCCAAATATTTAATTGCCATAAATTTGTTTAAAAATACACATTAAACGCATATTTCAGACACTAAACTTTCTATAATCTCAATACGACAAAATACATAGAATATACTATACAGATGTGGGGGGAAAATCTAGTTAGTATATAATACTTTGCTCACCATTAACATACGTGAAATGCACATACTGACTTAGAAATCCTAATTTGGAGCCCCAAAGTACCCTTTTGAAATTTCAAAAGTATTGCAAAGGAAAAGAGAAAAAAAAAAATCACAGTTTTGTTTTAAAAGTTTAGTTTTGGTTGAAAAAAGATGACTATGTTGGTATGTAACAAAATGTATAAGACATGGACATGTCACATACAAAGCATACGACAGAAAGCTATCCTGCCATTCATGATCAGTACCAAGCTGCATGCTCAACATTTTTTTTAAACTGATAAGTTAAAAGTCCCTCCCCTCCCCACGTTTGTCCCCAAAAGGAAAACAAAAACCTTCTTTACCAAACAATTTCAAATAAGATAAAGGATCTTTAATAAATATATAAGCACTTTATCCTCCATATACAAAACTTCTTAAAACCATTTAAAAGGGAACCCAGATATAAATGTTAGCAACTGTGCTTGCAGAGGCTATGCCTGGCCCAGAAAACCAAGTTCTTAAGAGATCTCAATGCAGCCATGTCGGAATGCTGTCAGCAATACTGATCTGATTTCCAAACTAGGGGAAAGGCAACATTTGAGTCCAATTTGGTGGTATCCCAGCTACCCCTCCATCTGGGAAAATTCTGTTCACAGTTACATTACTAGAATATTTTTTTGTCAAATTCATTTATAGGTGTAATTGAGAAGCCAAGCTAACATCAGATCTGTTTCAGCTATTATTCTGAACAAAGCAACAGTTTACATTTCTTCAACTTGGTTTACAGAAAGCTCAAACCAGTAAGGGGTGGGAGCTGGGGGGCATTTTGTAAAAATGCTTGGGTTTTCCAGCATAATCTCACCTGAGAATGTTATAATTACGCCATTTCCCATCACTGTTATTTTAAAATGCCACAAAACATGAAAGAACCCATTCAAAATAACAGCACTGATCATCATACTTTGTACAACTGAGCTATATTTTCTGTCTCCTAGGAAAAAAAATGAAATTCCTTTAAAGAGCTTTGTAATAGTAGCATTGGCTACAATTTATTGAAAGACAGCCAACATTTACTTAGCTCTTGAAAACCCAAATCTCCCACAACACTGATTTCCACTCAAAGTCATTCTGCCCTTGACCCAAATATTTATGAAATATTTGGCATTCAGGACTGTACGACATGGTTTGAATGTTGCTTACTCCTTTTTTGGGTAAAATATATTCAGACTTGATTTGCTCAGGTCCACCTAAATACTTTAATAAAAATACTGCAGAGTTTACAGTGCAAGGAAATATTACTATACATAGCAAAGGTAGTCTTTCCCATTATTTGCCAAATTTGGCAAACTATAATTATGGGCCTACAGCTGTGTTTTTTTACCTGCCTTTGGCAAGCAATTATATCCACTCACTTCATACCTGCTGTGGCTGCTCATAATACATGCTACATGGGTTGTTTGTATAAGTCACAGCAATCAGGCTTCAATAGTCTAAAAGAAACAGATAGCACTCCTGCATAATATGCAAAATTTATTACCATCACCAAAATGAGGATGGCTCAGCACTCCATAAATATATTGATATAGTCAGCTGTACTATAATCTAACACAAGTATAACAAACTTTGGACAAACTGGAATTCATTCATCTATATATGCATGTAGATAATATGTATTAGAAACATGTATATTACAAATTGCATACTGTTGTCAAAGGCCAAGAGCCACTTGCTCTAGTTTACAGCCATGAGATTTAAACCATACTGAATTGAACACGCTGGGTCATCTTGATCTGGTACCCTGGATGTTCATTTAGATACAAAATGAAGTAGCCAAGTATCTATCACAAGCAGTTTCTACATATATTATTTATTCCCAGGAACTGTAACAGAATTTTGCTTTACTTTGGGACCTGCCAGTTGGATTTTATCCAAATCCCTGTAACTGAAACATCTTGTGCTACACTGTATCATACACACAACACCAGCAGCCTGTGAAACAATTCAGTTCCACTGCTAGATTCGGCACCACCATTCATGAATTGCTTTCTTACAACTCTACAACACTAAGAGAAAACTCAGAATTACCTGAGCAAGCCTGATCTGACTATTTAAAACACTTATCATTGGGATAATGCTACAACATTGATATGTGTTAATACACAATAATGAACTTCATACATCTAATATTCCAGCGTTTTCAATCTAAGGACATACACATAGTAGGCCCATTTTAGATTAAATTAGTCATGATTTAGTCCCACTGGAATCAATAGAACCCTGACTAACTTAATTTCAGCCCAGATTTTTAAAGGGCAGATTCAGAACGGTAGCTTGCTTTTGTTCCAAAGAAAAGTAAATTATGACATAATTTCATTGAGAAATAAACTTTGGCAAATTACTCATGCCCTATAGCGACAAAAAATTCAGAAAGATAGCTGTTTTAAATGTGACAACTTCAATTGAAGTGGTTATAAATCTGATAGTTTGTAGTAAGGAAGGGAAAGCACACCTCTTTCATTTGGGACGTATAGGTAATGCCTTTGAGAGGAATACTTTGTAATGGATAGTGTCGGCTTAGGTCTGCATCTGAACAGGAGAGGTGTGGATTATCAGACATAGAAATGTTCAAGGTTCCTATGGAAATCCAATCTGATGCCATGTGCTCTAGTTATTTTTAAATAAAGGTATTTTAGAAAAGAGGCAGCTGTGCTAACTGGACATAAAAACAAGCCAAACTAATCAACGGACCCCTGTGACACTACCTAGGAAGGAGCTTGTAACCTACTGCCTGACAGTACAGGGGCTTCAGTGTAATAAATGTGTCAGGCACTTCTAAATGTTTGAGGTGGGAAATCTATCCACTGGGTCTTAACTAGAACCTATGCTGCTCCTGTTGGCACCCGGTAGGGGTGAGAGATCTGTAGTCCTCCAGATCTTGAACTATAATTCCCATCTTCCATGACCATGCTGGCAGGGCCTAATGGGAGCCTGATATCACATGGAGGGCCGCATGTCCCTCCCACCTGATATATGAAAATATACCTTCTTTGCAATTGTTTCCCTTCATGGATATCTTTATACAAGGAGCTGATATGAAATGAACTACAGAGGTCTGTTACAAATTACTTCCTCTATTTAAAAATAAGAATCTGCAACTGTCCTAATCTGTGTGCCAAAACAATGCAAAGGAACTGCTTCTTCAGGGAGCACCTTAAAGAAAGTTCCACATGACAACTGCTCACGCTGGCCTTAACAGCAGTGCAACCAAAAGAATGAATATGCAGAAATTTAATATAAACATATGTATTTGCCACTCACAATTTCAGTGAACTATAGTTAGCACTTAATGAGATCTTCCTAGATTACACTGATTTCATCACTTTTGTAATAGGTAAAGGTTCCCTTGACATTTAGTTCAGTCATGTCCAACTCTAGGGCGCGGTGCTCATTCCCGTCTCCAAGCCGTAGAGCCAGTGTTTGTCCACAGACAGTTTCCGTGGTCACGTGGACAGCGTGACTAGGCATGGAACGCCGGTACCTTCCCACTGAGGTGGTACCTATTTATCTAATCACATTTACATGCTTTTGAACTGCTAGGATGGCAGGAGCTGGGATAAGCGACGGGAGCTCACTCCGTCGTGTGGATTTGATCTTACGACTGTTGGTCTTCTGACCTTGCAGCACAGAGGCTTCTGTGGTTTGACCCGCAGCGCCACCACGTCCCTAGTAATACTTTTGTAATACCAGGATGCAATTGTATAGTTTCCCAGATCCCTGCGTCTTGCAGAATTAGTGATGCCTCCCTCCCTCATGCAGTTCCTCAGGTAGTTTTAAAACCCTGTGACAATATATATTGCACTCCAGAGGACTATAAAAGATCCTGGAGCCTGTTCTCTGTGCTATGGTGTACTGCAGTGGGAATGGGAGAATACTGAAGCACTCTGCAAGATCTTGGACTTTTTTTCTCCACCCTTAAAAAAGAAACCTTGGGGCTGATGTATGAAGTAAACAACAGAGTGAATCTGAGTACAGGACAGATTATAATTTGAAAGCAACTGATCCAAAACCCATGGTATAAAGTCATGCATCCCTAGAAGTACAAAATGTCAGTATGCTAGGCTCTGTGAATAAATCAGCTATTGCTTAGTGAAGTTACTCTAATTTATGAAGCTCCTCATTTCTCAATGTCCCAAGGACACACTGCAGTACTGATTAATGTTGAATTCTATTCCTTCTTGTAAAGTTTGCCATCATTTTGGCACATAGCTATAGAGCTCGACATAAATTTAGTGCAATCGTTTTCTTGAACATGCACGTTCAGAACTAGAACAGGGGTTCAGGGACAAGGGCAGGTAAAGCAGCATTCCATGATCCCACACTGAATGGTTGAGAGTTTGACTCCACAAAATAACCTATGTGCATTGTCAACATCTGACAGCCACTAATATTATGAAAAGGAAGTGGAATTTTACTGAAGTACTGCAGGAGACCAACTGGATATAGTATACCAAGTCTTAAATGTAAAACCACTTGTAAACAGTATTCAAAATCTTCATCTAAAAAGGCATAAGGCACACCAGACATGATAGGGACACTAAGTAAAATTCTTTCACTCAGAGAAGCACCTTCTACAAAAAGGTACTTTGGTTAGTAATTTTAAAGCAATTATTTAGAATTCCACACACAATTCTTGCTGATCACAGTAATTTTTTCTTAAGTTAAAAATTCTGTTCCCATCACAAACATTTAATATTAATGAAGGTAACTTAAATTGGCAGGAAAGAAAGATTCCAAATGAGTTGGACAAAACAGTTTAAAATGCCCCTGTAATCATAGATCTAGTTTCTACCCCATGTTGCACATCCTGTAATCCTGTCTGAGAGAAAACAAACATGCTAGTCACTACACACATTTTCAGATTATGTACTTTAGTTTCATACAGGAGTTAAAGTTAGTGGCTTCAGTGTCTAACAATGAAAACAGAGGCTGTACAAAAGCACAAGATTGTCCATTTGACACCATTCCTAGCCTACCCCTGCAGACTAAAGCTCATTGTGACCCACATTATTTTGATATTGCATTAAATGCAACTTCCTGTAATGTTTTGAGATTGTTAGTTATTAGTGTTTTGAAGCTAATTTTCCATATATATTTTAACATTTTACTTAAATAAAATGGCTAAATGAACAGAAGATCCATGAAATTTAGTACATCAGGAAAATTGTGGCTGTCATTTAGTCGTTGACTCTGATACTTACAAAAATGTGTCCCTACACTTCAGAATCTATCAACCCTGACTTTCTCTTTACAAGCTCTACCACAAGACATTACAGAATAACAAAGTCCACAAAATACTTAAATAAAGTGTCTACATTTAATCTTCACTAAGTACTTGATCAGGAAAAATTTATAGGAAAAACAGCTAAATCTTGAAACAGCCCAAAAATAGAGCTCTTAAAAACAGATTAAAATAAATAAAATTTAAAACAGATTTGTTAGGCATAATTACTAGAATTCCAATCCATTGCAGCTTCAGTGAATCCATCTCACATTAAAATGTTGCACAGTTTTAAACTATCCTTAAATATCTTTAAAATAGGACAATGACAAAAAAAAGTTCACTAACATGATGGTTTGGAGGTTCTTAGACATGATGCTGGGAGACATACGAAAGTATTCCTTAATCTAAGCTTGCACTAAGCAATGCATTATGGCAGTCTTCCTTTTTTTATGACACAGTGTTGAAAAAAAAATCAGAGGCAGCAAGAAAAGGATCTTCTATGCTTTAAATGTCTTCAGTCCAGTTATCACTTGGAATCCAAACGCAACCAGTGCAGCCCCTGTCTGGTGTAACGTACTAGGTCTGTCATGACACTTGCATTAAAAACCAGAGGGCCCATAACTTTATCCAGTTCAGCAAAGAATTCTACAGAAAAGAAGAAATAACCAATTGAAATACACATATTTCCATACGGCATCTTCCAGCATTAAACTGGTGAATTCTCTTACAGGTATTACAATTTCTGATTAAAATGCTCATTATGGGCTGAGTTCTTAAAGAAGCAGAGTACAGTAAAAAGGTTGTGAAATATTTCTGAAGATCTAACAATATCTGAGCTGAACTTTATCATTCAGGTTCAGTGTTAAAAAGTTCTCGCTTGAGCAAGAATCACGCACTGATTGACGAAAAAGTTACATTTGAGCCGTTCTGTTTAATTAAAGCAGCAATTTTTTATCATTTCCTTTGTTCCACAACACACATCTCACACAGAGTAATAGTTTTTCCTTTGTTACTATTGGAAAATATTATACAGAATCCTTCTTAATGAAGAGAACTACAAACCCACTGGTAAATCACATTCATAACCCAAAGAACAGAATCTGTGCAATAAAAATG